CCCGCAGCGAGCTTACTAAGTGGAAGGCTCCTGCGCAGGAGGAGGTAACGAGCCTCGAAGTTACGAATCGTGCAGTAGAGCGTGTAACTGTAGCAGAGGTAGATAAGTGGGCGGCTCAGGGTATCACTATTGTGCAGTTGCCAGGGAAGGTAGTCCTTACGAGGAAGTCCGGGACAGGGCGTCGCCGTTGCAGAGCAGTTTGTTGCGGCAATTATTTGCCGACCGACAAGCTAGGGCTAACCAGGGAAGAGCTTTATGCCTCCGGGGCCGAGGCATTGTCGGTGAAGATAGCGTTGACCTTTGCCGCCCTGCACCCGTCATGGGTGGGGGTGACCATTGATGTGAAGTCGGCGTTTTTGTACGCACCTATTAGAAGCGACGACGCTGAGGAGCGGATTATTGTGAAGCCTCCAGGGTTTCTTCATGAATTGGGGATCCTTTCTCGGGTGGATCGTTGGTGGATTCGCAAGGCGCTTGACGGACTACCAACCAGCCCGCGGGACTGGGGCCGGTATAGAGATGGAGAATTCCGGGACTTTGTCATCCACTGGGCGGGAAGGGTGTACCGCTTGGCGCAGACTAAGAGTGATGATGCTTTGTGGTTGGTTAAATCCTTTGAGAATGAGGTGTTCGGGAGCACCTCTGGGATTTTGGTAGTGTATGTCGACGACCTTGCCTTTTTAGGTCCTAAGGGACTTTGCAAAGCATTCATCGATGCGGTGCAGGCCAAGTGGAAGACATCAGATCCAGATTGGCTAGGAGCTGACCCCGTAACTTTCTGCGGAATCGAATTGACATTGGGTGACCAAGGCTATCGATTGACGCAGCGCGCGTATGTGCAGGAACTCTTGAATCGCTACAACGTCGTGAATGAGTCGTCGGTGCCTCTCAATAAATGGGTGGAACCAGAGGTGCAAGATACGGTCAAGGCGGAGCAGGTGAAGGAAGCACAGGCGATCACTGGGGCGTTACTGTGGCTGTCTACGCGCACCAGACCGGATTTGGCCTACGTGGTTTCCCGTTGTGGGCAGCAAGCTACGAAGTGTCCAGAGGTATCAATTATCCTGGGAAAGCAGACCCTAGCGTACTTAAAGTCTACTATCGATCTGGGCATTGATGTGCCGTTTGAGGTAGGTAGTTTCTTTTCAGATCATGGGTTACTAGCTATGCCCAGAACCGAGAAGGTAATCGAGCTGTATACCGATGCTTCGCATAGCCCCGGGGGAGAGCGAAGCATGCAAGCGATTTTTATACTGTGGCGGGGAGTGCCGGTTGCGTGGGAAGCCACAAGGCAACCTTTCACGACGCTCAGCTCAGCGGAATCCGAGCTTGTAAGTATGGTGCACGGCATCCAACTTGCCGAAGCGGTGCAACCTCTGGTGGATGAGTTAGTAGAAGACGACTCAGTGATATCGCTTTTAGCAGACAACGAAGCTGCGATCAGATCCTTTGATACCGCTTCGTCGGGTTGGAGAAACCGGCATCTTCGTATGCGAGCTTTAGCGGGCCGGGAGCGCGTTGCAGCACATCGTTTGAAGGTAACGCACCTACCTGGTGAATTCCAGCTAGCAGATCTCGGGACCAAACCGTTGTCTAGAGCCCGCATAATGCAGCTCCTGGGTCTGGCTAATATTCGGAGCAGGGTCATTTTAAGTGAATCGGTAAAGGGGGCTCGGATGCTTAGCCGACTATGTTTTTCCGAGAATCCTGATGCCGATGCGGCCAAAGCTTTGGCAGGTCTGGCTCTGTTGGCGATGCTTCCGCAGGTGAAGGGCCAGCCGATCGAAGACCAGCTTGATGTAGGGTCCGGTTGGTTGGTTTGGGTAGTAGCCGGGATTGTGTCCGGATTGGCGTTGCTTTGGGGATGGTGGTTTTCTCGAAGGGCTGGTTCTGAGAGTTTGAATGAGAGTTCAGGTTGCGCTGTGGAAACCTTCGGCCATTTTGGAGAAACTCAGGGGCTGGAGGCCCCCGGGAATCTGGGTCGACAAAAGGCTTCTGCAGAGAGCCTAGAGGCCTTGGACGAGGGCTCAGGAGCAGTCACTGGAGACTCACCATCTGTTATCGGGAGTAAGGCCGCTGATAATTCGGGTTTTTTAAGGGAAGCTGAGACCGATGAGGATCGCGAGTGCAGGCTCGCCCAAGCCAGATTTGAGGAGCAAGAAAGGGATTCGGGTTTGACGTGGATCCAACGGTTGAGAATAAAAAAGGCGATAGCTAAGGGAGGAGTAGTAGAGCCTCCCGTGTTTCTGCAAAGGTTTGGCCCACCTCCCAGTTGGCTACACGGGTCAACTTTGTTCTCGGCGGTTTTAGCACTTAGGGCAGTGTTGGAGCAACAGGCCGAGGTCTTTTTGGCGTTGTTAGGCCAAGGGGCTGCTGAACTTGTAGCGCTACGCTGGATTTCTCTCCGATATCATAAGAGTGCCCGGATTCAAAGGCTGGGTAGGCTCAGGGATTCTGGAAGTTCTGCGGCCGGGTGAGGGCTCGGCTAGCTTTCAGTTTACAGGAAGTCAGTGGAGTCCAGTAGAGGTTCCCTCGGATTCAGCTGGGGTCAGGGGGAGTCCAGTAGCTACGTCGGATCCGTGTGGGTCTCCGGGTAGAGGTGCTAGACCAGAGGTACAGGTAGGGGGGAGTGCAAGTAGCACCGATCCTTGCCCAGGAGTGAGCTCTGGTAGTCACGGCATGAGAGTGAGTCAATCGGCCTGGGGGGTTTGCTATGAAGATTCGTTCGAGGAAACCGAAGGGGATGATTTTCCGTTAGTAGGTACCTGGTACAGGGTCCATTTCTTGGTGAAGCTTCTGTCCTTGGTAGGGGAAGAGATTTTGAGCATGCTAGGGGTGCGAGCTTTGTCATGGCTGATGCTGCGCGGGGCTTCCAACTATATGAGGGTGGCCATTGCAGGAGCAGTTGTGGATCGTTTGAGGCAGGGTCCTTACGCTGTGATGTTTTCTACGCCGCAGTGGCTTGCGACCGTCGAAGAGTATATCCTAACAGGGTACCCTTTAGAAGAAGACGACTCAGTTGCTGAGGAAGGAGGTGACCGCGAAGTTGTTCCTTTCGGAACTCCGTTCTCAAGGGACGCAGCTGAGGCCCCTGTGCGAAAGGGGACAAGTCGGTCCTCAGATGATGATGATGAGGATGATCCTAGTCTAGATGATAGGAGGGTAGTAGATGGTGTACCCCCTGCCCGGACATTGCTGTTCGCCCCCGTTGCCCGAGAGTTGCTGGCGTCCTCATCTGAGGAGGACTCTAGTAGTTCAACTGCGGAACCATCTTTAGTGACGCAAAGCGAGTGCAGCAGTAGCGAGGTCGTTGGAGTTGGCCAGGGGACTGAGATGGAGGCTGTAGCCTCTCCCCCGACCGGTCCCGTGTACTCTGCTGGGGAAGGGGTTTTGTGGTGTACATATGTAGATGATGTTGTTTCGGTTCCGCTGCAGGGCTGGAGTATCTCCGAAGTAGAGACTATTGTTCATGGCCTTCATACTGGGGACTGGTCAAGCTTTCAACAAGTACTTACAAGTGCGAGCCCAGGCGGCACCGCTGGAGGTGTTGGGGGTTCTGAAGTAAGTACAGGGATTCAAGGATTAAGAGGCCCAGGTGAGGCTAGGATTCCTTGGGGTTTGAGGCTGCTCCTGCTGCTGCTGTGGTGCGTTCAGGTAACTAGGTCCGAGGCCGTGCTTTCGGAAGAGGCTCAAGGAGGATGTGAGGCGGGATCAACTTGTATAGCGCTTCGGATTGGCTTGAGGGACCAAGATGAGGACTGGCCTGAGAGGGAACTGGGCTTTGACTGTGGTAGTCCGCTACTGTGGGAGCTAGGAAAGGCTGTGTTGATTGTCCTGACCTGGGAAATCCTTCGTCGTTGTCTGTGCGGTCAATGTGGGCCCGGTAAGACCTGTATCGACACTGGAAGCCAGACGAGGTCCGATGGGGTCATCAAGATGCCTCTGGGGGCCGAGGTTCGCTGTAGGGCTAAGATACTGTTTTGCCTGTGGCGGTCCGGGCTTCAGGTAGATGTCGACGAATACCCGGAAGGGACTCAGTCGGAATTTTATGGGTTGGTTGGTAGTTTTTTGAGCCGTGTTGAGGAGGGTTTGGTGTCTAGTTCCGAGTCCGACTGAGTAATTTCCCGAGTTGGGACTTTATCGGCTGAAAAGGCCAAGAACGATTCCGTTACAATGAAGAAACAGTCTTGGGTCGTGCCAGGAGATGGAGTTGGTATGGACCTCCAATCTTTAGGATTGGGCTTTTATAGTCTTGCTCGCGAAGTGTTGCTTGATGTTGGGTCGGTACCACCATCTTCTTCGGTACTGTTAGTGTGAGAAGGGACGCCAGATGCCCGTTGTTACGAGTGCCTTTTAAGGGGCTGGCTGCGAATCCGGCAGTCAATCGGAATAGGGCTAGCTGACTGGTTTTTGTCCGAAGGCCTTAGGAACCAGCAAGTACAGAACCGGCGAAGCAAGGGGCTCTGTATATTTTCCTTTGGAGAGTTCTTGTGCTCCTTAAGTTTCGGCCCTCCTTGGAGGAGGGCACGAAAGGGGGAGTGCGTGAGCATAGCTGTGGCGGCAGACGCTGGTTGATCGAGGCTGTTTTGTTCAAGAAAAAAGAGCCCGAGGGGCTTGGGAATCGTCTGAAGCCTGTAAGCCGTTCAGCTTGTTAGGCCATATATTCGATAGTCCCATCACTTCATTGTGCCAATTCTCCAAGGGGTGTTCTTGATCGGGATCCTCCTTTTACTTTGGGTTGTAGCTCACGTACTAGGCCCTAAACCCCAAGCCCTAAGCAACTCCGAGGTTCAAGCCTGGGTTAGGGGACCCGAATATGGTACCCTACATAGTAGGACCCTTATTGCAAGGACACCAAAATACTTCAAACCCTAGACCCTAAACCCACAAAACCCCCAAATAACCCTAAACCCTAAACCCTAAAGCCTAAACCCTAAACCCTAAACCCACAAAACCTCAACATAACCCTGAACCCTAAACCCTAAACTCTAATGTTTCAGGATCTCGTCTTTCAGGATGATCGCTGGGAGAGGGCCTTGAAACATCTCAGCGCAGAGCCAGGTGGGAGTTTCCGAAAATTAGGGTACCATTTTTGGGGATCCTTATAATGGGGATCCTATTATTCCCTAAACCCTAAACCGTAAACCCTAAACCCTAAACCGTGGGTACTATATTAAGGGTCCCCTATTTTCTGAAACCCCCAGGTCGATCTCAGGGTTCATTCCAAGGGGCGCGAATCTGAGGTGTTTAGGGTTTAGTGGCCTTTAGGGGCCTTGACGGGCCTTTAGGGGTTTAGGGGTTTAGGGGCCTTTAGGGGTTTAGGGGTTTAGGGGCCTTTAGGGGTTTAGGGGCCTTAGGGGTTTAGGGTTTAGGCGGCAGTATGTAAGAAAGGGGTCGGGATAAATAGCAAGATCATTACCTTAGGGCTGCTTAAATAAACTAGTTTTAGGTTGCTAGACCCCCCCCCCATCTTGACGAAGGAAGGTACCTGAAAACAGTGGGGTCTCACAGGGTTTCGGAGGTGACAGGAGGTTATACGAGCTTTTTCTATTCCGGATCTGCGGCAGGTCATGTTTAGAAACCCTAAACCCTAAACCCTAATCCATATGTGAAGGTCTATTCCGTAAGGAACGGGCTTTCGAGCCTTCCTGAAGGCTCTCAGAGATTTGGAGTTAAGTGGGTTGCTTTTTTTGGGGTGTTTCAGGGGTTTCGGTTTGGGGTTTAGGGTTTAGGTACTTCGGTTTGGGGTTTCAGCACATGTTGGGGCCGAAGAGCTTTTCGGCTATTGCTTGGGCACTTGGCATGCTTTTTGGATGTCCTGCTGGAAATGACGTCGGGGATGTACTACTTGGAGGCCCAGGGGACTTAGTAAGTCGGTTATAAGTAGGGTTATAATTGGGGTAACTCCAGTTAGGGTACTTATAACTCTACTTATAGCCTACTTAAGTCCCCTGGGCCTCCAAGTACAAGGATTGCTGCAGTGTGGCTTCGTGCCAAGATGGCCTTGCCAAGGCGGTGACAGCGGCGCAAAGGGCTGAAGCTGACCAGGATTCATCCGGGACCTGCAGCCTTACCAAGCAGCCGAAGATCCGCTTCCTCACTCTCACTTTGGGTTTAGGGTTTAGGGTTTAGGGTTTAGGGTTTAGGGTTTAGGGTTTAGGGTTTAGGGTTTAGGGTTTAGGGTTTAGTGTTTAGGGTTTAGGGTGTTTCACTGTCATTCTCGCCTTCAGACGCAGCCGCAGGCGCACTCACACTCTCAGCAGCTGACATGGCACCGTGGCAGTTGTGGTCAGAGCTTCACCGAAAGCGTCTGCCAAAGCTCACCTGAACCTTCCTGCTGCGCAAGTCATTCGCAGACTTCTATCCGTTTAGGCTTTAGGGTTTAGGGTACAAAACCCCAGCCTACTTACTTAAGGCCCAGCATTGGCTTCGATCCGACACACTGTGTCCCGAGGTTCCGATGTGAGGGGACTCTAAACTTTGAAGCTTGCAGCCGTAAGCCCTACTAACTGGGATTGTTTGCTAAGAAGTCACTGAGGGGTTTCATTTACCTTACAGTACCCTAGTAGGGATCTATAGTCAGGAAGACTAGCTGATGGTTTCCTTGTTATGACCCCTTGAATGAAATGCCTTAACAAGAACCCAGGAGGGGATTTTCTGCATCCTTCTGAACCCTGAACCCTAAACCCTAAACCCCAAGCCTTAAACCCTAAACCCTAAACCCACAACCGAAGCTCTGCTCGACATTCCTATCATCCCGAAGCCCTCATCCACAAGACGGCAAGAAGCTCGTCGGGTTTAGGATTTCGGCCTTCTTCCACCCTAATCCCTAAATCGTAAACCTTAAACCCTAGGCACTAAACCAACTGGGGAAGGCTGGGGCAAAGAAGCCGCCACACAGCTTCTGCGGAAAGGCGCCGGGGTCCTCAGCATGAGTCTTCTCTCTTTCCAGCATCCAACCTTTCCCCAAGCCCAAAGCCCTGAACCTCAAACTTTAACCTGGGAGCCCTAAACCCTAAACCCCCAAGAGAGAAATGCATAGAAATTGCTTGTTGCCGTTGGCCATCCGGAAACCAGTTAGGCCAGCCTTTCCAATTTCTATGAACAAATTTCCGTCTCAGGGGTAGGCAAGTCAGCCCACCCGCTCTTTCCCAACACAAACGGCCCCACCCACCGCCTGCCCAGCCCGCCAGCCCGACCAGCCCTGCCCAGCCCAGCCCCTGTCCCGAACCCCATTCCAAAATACAGCCCAGCTTAGACCATCTCCGCCCAGCTCAAAGCCGCAGTTTTTGGCCCACCAATTTCCGAAAACTTACAGGCACCCAAACCCTTAACAACTTCTGTAATTTCCTTTACTAATTTCCTTTACTATTAAGGGTTCCTTTATCAGCCCTAAGCCCTAACCCCAAGCCCCGAGGCCCCTATGCCCTGAAACTTTGAACCTGAAAGTATAAGCTAACGCTAAGTCGAAAACCCGTAAACACAAGTAAGTCCTAAATCCTATACCCTAAAGCCAAACCCACATCCTAAACCGTTAACCCCACTCCCTATGCACAGAAACACATATCCTAACCCCTGAACCCGTAAACCTTCAAAATCCTGTACCCTTTAGGGATCTCTACAAAAGCCTTCACCTAAACCCTGAACCCTCCAAGCTAAACCCTACACGCTCAACCCTAGAACCTCGAACCTGTGGGATGTGGAACCGTATGCAGAGGGTTGGAGTACATGTTCACGATGAGTCTGCTAGGAACCTTCCACAAAGCGGAATCTGCTGAGCTGCACAGTAAGGCGGACAAAAGGTGTTCAAACAAAAACATCTTAAACCCCAAACCCTAAACCCTAAACCCACCTTAGGGATCCGTTTGTTGAAAGCCATCCTACACCCAGGCAGAAGCCTACGGCTTCTGGCAGCTTCCGGATGAGGCGCCCTGCGAGCTTTTTGTTTTGGGTTCGGGATTCAGGGCTTAGGGGTTTGGGTTTAGGTTTCAGGGTTTAGGGTCTAGGGTTTCAGGCTTTGGGGTCTAGGGTTTCAGGGTTTAGGGTCTAGGGCTTTTGGGTTTAGGGTTTGCGGGTTAGGGTTTAGGGCTTAAGGTTCAGGGTTTAGGGCTTAGGGCTTAGGACTTAGTGTTTAGGGTTTAGGGTTCAGGATTCAGGGTTTAGGGTTTCAGGGTATAGGGTCTAGGGTTTCAGGGTTCAGGGTCTAGGTTTCAGGGTTTAGGGCTTAGGGGCTAGGGTTTAGGGTTCAGGGTTTAGGGGTTTGGGTTTAGGGTTCAGGGTTTAGGGTTTCAGGGTATAGGGTGTAGGGTTTCAGGGTATAGGGTATAGGGTTTAGGGTTTAGGGTTTAGGGCTTTGGGTTCAGGGTTTAGGGTTCAGGGTTCAGGGTTCAGGGTTTAGGGTTTAGGGTTTAGGGTTCAGGGTCTAGGGTTTCGGGTTCAGGGT